ACATAAGAGCCCTGACCCTCCCCCCCATCTTACCTCCATTCCCGGCTGGACGTCGGCCCCATCGTCCGAGGCCTGCTGCACGTGCAGCACGTGGATGGGAACATGAGAATTAGGGCAGGCACGTCAATTAGGGCAGGCACGTCAATGACGGAGGCGAAACATACACACACCCCTCCTCCAACCAGCCCCAGCCACCCTCCATAGCATCAGGAACAAGAAAGAGGGCAAGGGGTAACGAATCCACAAAGAAAAACGACCCTGGCACAGCTGTGCCCCACAACTACCTGCCTGCATCAAACAAATCTGCCGTACTCCGATAGCCATATCGGAGTACGACAGCATTTTGATGCCCCACGTAAAACACATAAGAGCCCTGACCCTCCCCCCCATCTTACCTCCATTCCCGGCTGGACGTCGGCCCATCGTCCGAGGCCTGCTGCACGTGCAGCACGTGGATGGGAACATGAGAATAAGGGCAGGCACGTCAATTAGGGCATGCACGTCAATTAGGGCAGGCACGTCAATTAGGGCAGGCACGTCAATTAGGGCAGGCACGTCAATTAGGGCAGGCACGTCAATGACGGAGGCGAAACATACACACACCCCTCCCCCAACCAGCCCCAGCCACCCTCCATAGCATCAGGAACAAGAAAGAGGGTAAGGGGTAACGAATCCACAAAGAAAAACGACCCTGGCACAGCTGTGCCCCACAACTACCTGCCTGCATCAAACAAATCTGCCGTACTCCGATAGCCATATCGGAGTACGACAGCATTTTGATGCCCCACGTAAAACACATAAGAGCCCTGACCCTCCCCCCCATCTTACCTCCATTCCCGGCTGGACGTCGGCCCATCGTCCGAGGCCTGCTGCACGTGCAGCACGTGGATGGGAACATGAGAATAAGGGCAGGGACACGTCAGTTAGGGCATGCACGTCAATTAGGGCAGGCACGTCAATTAGGGCAGGCACGTCAATGACGGAGGCGAAACATACACACACCCCTCCCCCAACCAGCCCCAGCCACTCTCCATAGCATCAGGAACAAGAAAGAGGGCAAGGGGTAACGAATCCACAAAGAAAAACGACCCTGGCACAGCTGTGCCCCACAACTACCTGCCTGCATCAAACAAATCTGCCGTACTCCGATAGCCATATCGGAGTACGACAGCATTTTGATGCCCCACGTAAAACACATAAGAGCCCTGACCCTCCTCCCCATCTTACCTCCATTCCCGGCTGGACGTCATCCCCATCGTCCGAGGCCTGCTGCACGTGCAGCACGTGGATGGGAACATGAGAATAAGGGCAGGGCAGGGAGGCACGTCATAGCATGCACGTCAATTAGGGCAGGCACGTCAATTAGGGCAGGCACGTCAATGACGGAGGCGAAACATACACACACCCCTCCCCCAACCAGCCCCAGCCACTCTCCATAGCATCAGGAACAAGAAAGAGGGCAAGGGGTAACGAATCCACAAAGAAAAACGACCCTGGCACAGCTGTGCCCCACAACTACCTGCCTGCATCAAACAAATCTGCCGTACTCCGATAGCCATATCGGAGTACGACAGCATTTTGATGCCCCACGTAAAACACATAAGAGCCCTGACCCTCCTCCCCATCTTACCTCCATTCCCGGCTGGACGTCATCCCCATCGTCCGAGGCCTGCTGCACGTGCAGCACGTGGATGGGAACATGAGAATTAGGGCAGGCACGTCAATTAGGGCAGGCACGTCGATGACGGAGGCGAAACATACACACACCCGCTCCCCCAACCAGCCCCAGCCACCCTCCATAGCATCAGGAACAAGGAAGAGGGCAAGGGGTAACGAATCCACAAGGAAAAACGACCCTGGCACAGCTGTGCCCCACAACTACCTGCCTACATAAAAAAACTGCCGTATTCCGATAGCCATATCGGAGTACGACAGCTTTTTAACGCCCCACATAAAACACATAAGAGCCCCGCGCCTCCCGCCCATATCACCTCTCCAAGCGAGCCCAATTCCTCCTCACGGTGGCCACCCGCCTCCATTCCCGGATGGATGTCAGCCAAGAGTAACTAAAGTTAGTTCAGCGACAGTGAGTGGCGGTGAGTTCTATTTTAACGTTGCTACAAGGCATAGTAAAATATAACACAAATCCCTTATCCCAATTGAAGCTATTCCGAATTCGTTCTCACTTGAAGCGGTTTCCTTCTCACTTGAAGCGGTTCCGATTAGCAACAATACTTGGCCCATATCGTGTTTGACTGAGTTGGGAGTTATGGCTACGTGCTTTGGTCTTTCGTAATGAAGATATTTGTCTGATGGAGAGGACATTGAAGCCATAATAGCCAAAGCCGTACATGAGCGGTTATGTCAGCCAATGGCTCGGAAACCTCGTCGGTCGTAATTCTGTTCAGTAAACCTGACAAGGATTTAAATGATTTCAGCCGACTTTCGGATATTGTGGCGTGGACCCACTACATTGGCGGACCTGGTCGACAAGGTCGATCAATGTCGGCCTCGGGTAACCTTTCCTATGTACTTATTTGTTCTTGAGCTATATTCTACTTTGTGCTGCAACAATCGGCGTTCCTTTGCGCCATGACCATGACTACCAATTGTCATGTTACATCGGAGCACCAATACAGGTGGCAAACACCGGAAGTAACCTAAATTTCACTTATGATGAATTCAACGGCTATATTCATGCTTCCCAATGTGCTTTCGGGACTGCACATCAAAAATAACCTCGTCCAGACAACTGTCCCGTAGCTGCTGAGCCTTGGGCGCTACACGTCTCTGGACTGCCAAATGGCCGTAGGTAGAGAGCAAATCGTCAGGACAAATAATGCCTCCCCACACTCAAATTGGATGGCAAACATTTTAACTAACCTCGTCATAACATTTCACACACTCAGCGCGCATATCTGTGCATAATTATGACACTTTCAAGGTTGCACATTTACCAAGCTTCTAGCTGGCGAGTAACCTGTCCAGACAACTGCCCCGTAGCTACTGAGCCTGACGAGTTACACGTCTCCGGACTGCCATAGGGATTATGAGGAGGTTTATGTGTCATGGTCTCTGTCTTGGGTGGTTAGGCTAGGCGGTGTCTCCAACCTGTAATAAGGTTGCTGCAGTCCTCCTCTTTGGCAGCGGCTAGCCGCTGGGCATGGCCCTTCCTGCTATTCCCTTTTTCGTGTGACTGTTGGTGGTGAGTGTTCAGCCAGCTTTTCCTGCTTGGTGGCCCCGAGTGCAGGTTGCACTGCAGGGCCTTTTTGGCGAGGCCCCAGTGTGAAGCGCCCAGGGGGGCCCTGCCCTGTAGCATTGCCCATGTCTGTGTGGCCATGTGTGTGTGTGTGTGTGTGTGTGTAACGGACCAAACATAATATCTCACCCGGTTGAAATGCGTTATTGGTAATATATTGCATTCTATATTGCAAGGTATCTAGCCTGTAGCCATCAGAAATCGTATGGGCACAAACAAGTTTGGCTGCCTCCATTGACCGAGGTCAAAATCACATCAACACCTCTCGGGCTAAATGTAATCTCACAAGGTGCCGTGTATCTCATAATTGAATTCTGAGATGACGGCGTATGATAACTTGAACACCCAGCTTGTGTTACCATTTGCCCTCACAGGCATTCCGACTTGCCTGAAGGCCAGCAGGCCGACAAGTTTGCTTTCATTTTTCTGTTATGGTGCTGAGGTTTGGGGTCCTGATAGGATTGTCTCCGTTCTGCGGTTAGATAGAGGTGCTTTACCCGCTGGTAAGTTATATTTTGATTTGGCTTTGGAAGATGGTATGGTTCAGGTCCAGCGTGACTTCTGTTTATGTTGCGCTGGGCTCAAGCAGGTACCTTACAAGCTGTTGTACAGGGAGTTGTCTCAGTTGCCTTTGCAGTACTTTTGGTTACGTCTTGCGTTGTGTTTCTGGAATAGGATAGTCAAGTCCCGTGGGTCGGTCTATCATGATGTGTTAGTAGATGATCTCCGTCTGGCTCTTCTGTCTGATCTCAAAGTGGATTGCTGGTCGTCTAAAGTGCGCATCATTTTGCGTTGGTTGGGTCATGAGTGGCCGGCGTGTGACTCCGTCTCTCAGAAGGTAGATGTGTACTCCTCTCAGTTGATTCGAGTGGGTGAGGTTCTGGAAAGGTTATCTGCGTTCCTTTTAAGTGACTGGGATCAGTTCAGCCAAGGGGGTGATCCGCGTGTGTTCCAAGGTAAAGGGGTTTCGCTTTGCAGGTATCATAACTGGATGGGCTCCCCTTCACCTGCAAGAGAGGGCTCCGATCCCACAGGCTATTTGCGTGTTTATTTGCCGGTCAACCAGTTGCGTATGGTTGCCAAATTCCGTCTTTGTTGTTGGCCTTTGGAGGTCAACAAAGGGCACCATAGGCCGAGAGAGTGCCGTACGTGTCAGGTCTGTACATCGGGTAAGGTTGAGGATGAATATCATGTGCTTATGGAGTGTGAGGCGTATACTGAGTTGTGTAATAGGTTTCTGATTAACGTTGAAGATACTGATATACACAAGGTATTTCTTAATACCAATCCGAGGAAAATCCCTACTTTCCTTCCTGAGGTTTTCGATGAGCATCAACAGCGTGCTCTGGAGCCTCACGGCTCGTGAGGGCACCCGCCGCGTCGGCGGCGGAAATACTGTAACCACAATACAATTTTTCTGTGAAATACACAAGCTGCTCGTTTGTACAATTGCTTTGGCCATTGCTCTGGGCCTCTGAAGACTTGCAGTGTGCTGTGGTGAAGCTTGTGGCTGTGGGCAGATTCCTGAAGCTGCTGGCACTTTGGGGATAAACATCACGAACAGCATGGGACTTCACCCAGCTTGTGTTACCATTTGCCTGCATGGGCATTACAACTGGCGGTCTGCCGCACTGTCCATGCGGCATGCACCCAGGATGAACGCGATTCACTTGGCGCCTGCAGGCCATGCTGATGATTCCGCTGGTGCAAGCATACCTCCCTGTAACAACATACATACCTCCCACAGCATCAGCACTACTGCAACATGCACACCTCCCACCATGTTGACACTACCCATCCATTGTCACATGTGCCACCCTAGCTACTGGCCTGTACAGGTGCAGGGGGGCCCCACCCTTTTTTCGGCTTCAAGGAAGCCAACACCCGACTTGTTTTGGGTATGGCTGCACAGTTTTGTTAGCAGGCAGTGTGAAGGCGCTCGGCTGGTGTGCACCTTGGGTGTGCAGTGTAAGGTTCCTCGGCAGCTGTTCCCTGCTCCTTGGTCCCTGCCCTCTCATAGAATTGTATCACGACTTTTTCAGATAAGAACCGAACAGTGGATGCAGACCCCATGATATACCCAGGATACTACAATTATCCATCCTCTTCAGTAGATCCATTCTGACAGAGAGTTGAACCCGAGATACTTGCTTCATACCAATATTATTATATGGAGACGTTTCAGGAAAAAAAATGATTGGCGAATGCAGATCCCACCCAGCACACTACACATACCACTTCCTTTCTAGGTGCAGGTTAAGGGAGATAGAAGCACAGATATGATAATCAGAAGGTGACAAGAGGACGATCCATCCATGGAGGTGAGTGCAAGGCTGGTCAATAGACAGGGATTTGGGGCTGCACTCACCTATGTGTCCAATGAATGGCAGGAGCCAGCTGATCAGAGGAATCAGACTCCACATGAGCACAACATGGTCATTCTCCATTATGTGAGCAGCCCTCAGCATGCGACATGGCTAGCATGATGTGCAGGTTGCCCGAAGCCAGGTGGGCTAAGTGCTTACTTGCATGCATTCTGGATGGTAATGTAAGGAATGCTTTGGGGCTATTATGCCCAACTGCCCATGTCACTTGTGTGTTCAGACAGCTTTCTTTAAATGAAAACTACACAGTAAATGCTACTATCAAACCAGCTTCAACAGCCTCGATGGAAAATCTGGATTTTAAGATTGAAATAGCACAACAGTTGGGCTGTTGGTGGCAGAACCCCACTGTACGACACCATGCAAGGAAATTTGGTAGGCATTGCATAGATTCTAATGACATGCCGTGTGTGATGCTGCTGTCTGTTGCCAGCTTCATAGCTGGATGCTATCCCATAACCACATTATTGCGACCGATTGTGTCACAGCAACCATGCATTACCAGGCTGTGCCTTGACAGCATGGTACTTACCCATGCTAATTAGCAAATTATAATTTGCCACACAACTTTAGCAAACCAATGTAACTGTTGCTCTCAGGTCGTGTATGCAGGGTAACTCTGGCGAGTACTGTCAAGGTGCAGATCTTCCATCACAAGTCTTAAGCCCATGCCTGGTTAAACTTGTTACCACGGAACGTGTTACTTCCCCCAAGGTCACTAGCTGCACTCGCAGCGCCAGTCCTGAGATGGATTCGAGCCAGCTGCTCGTGCTGGGCCCTCACAAAGCCAATTTGTTTTATTGATAACCCAGCAGAACTACTGTCACTTGTCTCTGCACCATAAAGTATGTGGCCATTTCATTTCCCCGTGCGGGGCACCTGCAGGAAGGCCGCAAGTCCATGAGTGGCGTTTAAGGGGAGGGCAATAGCAGTAGCAGCAACAGAACTGGCAGTAGCTGGTCCCCTACCAGCACTTTTCCCCAGCAGCAGGACGACCAGCGGTCGGAAGGGCACTGGCATCACTCATTCAAGCTCTTCACCCCCACAACAGCCAGCACAGCGCCAAACCAAGGAACAACAAATACAGAACCGCTCCTGTCATTACCACATTGAACCAGCTGCTGGCGCTTTCTACTCCTTACCACCTTAAAGGTCGGGGTCCGTCCGTCATGTAAACACTGCAACTCCCGCCTACTTGCTGCCACCCCAGGGGGACTGCACGGTGGTGTGCACAGGGCTGCCCTGTGTGACCCGGGCGTACATCAAAACGCGCAAAGTGGTTTCGGAACGAAATGCACATGCACCGTGCCGATGTCACCTCGATTGCCGAACATCACTGGAAGGTGACCCGAAGATGACCCGAAGATGCCTCATCCCGCCCATCCACCAAGTTTCGCTTACATGCACACATAACACACACACACAAATACATACACACAATTACAATACACAAATACATTTACACACAGACACATATACACATATACACGCATGGACATACATAGACATAGACACATAGACATGCACACATGCAATCCAATCCAGCCTAGGTAGGTTTCATTTGCCCGCTCTTGGTGGACCGGCTACATGTCCGGGGGCCCCCTTCATGCAGTGCGCTCCGTGTTCACGTACACATCTAGCAGTCGATCTGTCTAATCATGTCTTTTTAAGCCCTATGCAGCTAGCTAGGTGCACGTGCAGCAAAGCAGCTATCCATGGTGAAGCCCTCCTTCTTGACTTGTGTACCACTAGCTACTCCTGCCCGCTAGCTTTAGGCATCATACGTCAGCAGCGCAAGGCGTTATCTGTCCACAACTATTGCATTATGGAAATACAACTATATGCCCTTCCCCTTATTTCCCGTCATCGTGTCGCTACTTTGTCGCAACAGCTTTCCCATGACGACTCACCCAGGGCAGCTCCTAACCGCGTTAAAGCCCTAAAACCCTAAAACAGTAAAACCCTAAAACACCCAAATGCCCGACCAGCCACACGTGCCATCTTGCCTCTCAGTTGCGGCGCACCATCTACCTACCTACCTACCTACTAGCTATTTAGGTACTTACCTACCTAGCTGTCTATCTACCTGCTGCCTTCACACATCCAATCCGGATAAACGATGGCAGCCTGATGCCTTGTGCACAGGCGAAGCTGCCATTACACCCCCCTGTCCGCCGGAAACACGTAACTAAATGTAGGCGCCCATCAGTCGAGGTGTAACCCCGAGCTGCTAGGGCACAGCGACCACTCGAAATGGCCAGAGGGGCGCAAAAGCTATCGCAACAAGAAGCGCAACCAGAAGCGCAAGCACCAGCAAAGCCATATGCAGGGGGTTGAACCCCTCCCCAAAACTGTCCACGAACATCTGCGGTACGAGCGTGAATTGCCATCACGAGCAAGACACAGCCTGCCTGCCCGTCTTTGTGTGGTGTCTACATATCTACACCTTCTCCGTACAGTCCCCCCTCCTATTCCCCTCTAACCCCCAACCAGCAACCGCCTAGACAACAGAATGGAAGGTAGTCACGGCTCTAGCTACGCGTGCAACACCACATACAATATAAGACGTACTGTACTTCAAAGCAGCACAGCGGCGCCGCGTCCGAGAAAGAAAGAAAGAAAAGCAAGCAAGAGCCGTGCGACCGGGACTGAATACAACGTTTTAACCGATACAAGGAACGCTTGTGCAACAAATTCTGAAACAAGTCCAAAGGACGGCGGCAGAAAGGAAATGCAGAGGGGATACAACCACTGGGGTACTGCTCAATTGGTCATTGGTCACCGGACAGGCTGCTGAAGCTGTCCGGGGCTCTCGGAAGGATTGAGCAGCGGCCTTCCGCCTTCTGGTGATACGAGCCGGGGAGTCAGGCCCCGGAGGCGCTAGGCGCCTGCGCCAGTGTGTAAAATCGATATACCATACTGGACGTCAACCGCCGGGCCGTGAACTCTCTCCCTTCTCGTTTCACACCAACAACCCCACAGTTGGAAATCTTTCGTCTTCTCGCCTTCTTCGTCCTCCTGCTATGGCTCATTCTTTTCTGGCATAAAAACACGCACACAAGACACAGAACGTATTGAGGTTTAAAGCAGGGCCGTTAAAGCCCAGAGTTACAAATCCAGCAGCACTGCAGACCGCAGCACGTGAATAACCCCACGCTGCTACACATATCATCATGACGCTCATGCGCCATTCGGCTGGCGGCAACCAGGTATTCATGCCGTGAACCCTGCTACTGTCCCCCACATACACCAACCCCCAAGCCACCCGCTGCTGCGTTACCACACGCCTCAATGTGGAAACCTCCCTGCGCTCGACCTACCTACCGATGTATTCTCACCACCCCTACTCCCCATGCATGCCCATGCCTGCGCACACATACACGCGAAGCAGTAACATAACACAAGCAGTAAACACAAAGCAAGGATGCTACGTGGAACGCGCCGCCACATGATCCGACGTCCAAACCCTGCTATCCTGTCGGGTGGTGACAGTTCCCCCTAGGCAGCGAGTCCGGCGCTGAAGGAGGTGCCGGCTCACCCGAAAGTACCTGTCTCGACCTATTGTGCGAAGACAACAATGAGCGTAACAAGGTAAGATAACATATTGGCCACGGAATGCAGTAAGGACCGAAAACCGGAAATCTTTTCATTGCACCGGTGTATAGCCGCTGTTGCAACGCGACCAGGGACCCTCACGACCTGCCAG